GGAGGAGGAGGAGGAGGAGGGGCCTGCGGTGTTCACACAGTAGAGAGTGGGCTACGGGAGGAGGAGGAGGAGGAGGAGGAGGGGCCTGCGGTGTTCACACAGTAGAGAGTGGGCTACGGGAGGAGGAGGAGGAGGAAGGGCCTGCGGTGTTCACACAGTAGAGAGTGGGCTACGGGAGGAGGAGGAGGAGGAGGAGGAGGAGGAGCCTGCAGTGTTCACACAGTAGAGAGTGGGCTGTAGGAGGAGGAGAAGCCTGCAGTGTTCACACAGTAGAGAATGGGATATGGGAGGAAGAGGAGGAGGAGGAGCAGGAGGAGGAGCCTGCAGTGTTCACACAGTAGAGAGTGGCTACAGGAGGAGGAGCAGGAGGAGGAGCCTGTGGTGTTCACACAGTAGAGTAGGCGTGCAGTGACGTTGTGGACGTGTGCCCATCACCCCTGTGCAGCTGGGCAGGAACGCCCGGGTTGAAGCTGGCATGCCACAGACGACAGCGAGGAAAGCAAGGGGCTCTCTGACTGGGACAACCCTCTGGACGCCGTGTCCTGCGGGGTGAGAGGGCCCTGGTTTGAAGCCCCTCTTTGCAGGTGTCCTGCGAGTGCCGCTGAGCCTGCAGCGACACCCTGGCAAGTGATCATTGTGACAGACCACGCAGCCCTCACGGGAAAGGAATAAAGGGAATTAGGGGCTCGGTCCCACCAGGGAGCCCCATTTTACCGGAGAAATGGCCAGTCCACTCCACGCATGGCTTACGTTTCTGCAGCAGCGGCTCAGGGCTAGTGTTGGTGAGAAACGAGGGATGGGGGTGAAAGGGACGGAGGAGGGCACGGGGAAGAGGGGAGCTGCAGGGTGATGGGGCCCCGAGCTGAGTGAGCTGGAACAAGAGCTCTGCCCAGACGTGGACATCATGGTGCAGGGAACACACAGCAAGGAGTGGGCTCACACAGCCCCTCACAGTGTGCAAACCCACACTACACGCTAGTGAACCAGGCTACACGCTACACCGAGCCACGTTTCATGCTAGACTGAGCCACGCTACACTAAACCACGATACATGATACCCCAAACCACGTAGAGGAGTTCCTGCCTGAATCTGTGGCTGTTGCTATGTTAACAGAGTGTCTGAAGTGGCCTCAGGGGAGAGGGTGACGGGCTGCCCAGCACTCGGGCACCCTGCCCGAGGCATGACCTGAAGCTGAACACAGGCGCAGGAGGTGCGCCTCAAGGCCAGGGAGAGGAGTGGTGGAGACGCAGCACGCTCCGGCCGTGGCCCGGCACGTGTGTGCCGTCCTGAGTGGGGCAGCCCGCTGTCGGTGGTGAGGGACGAGTTCCTTGGTGTTGTGCGCGACTCTTCTGTGCGTGTTCCCTGGGTCCTCCACCAAACACTGAAGGGGATGGGTGCTCAGAGAGCGCATCTGTACAACAGGATTTCATCATTCCAGCACAAAACTAAAATCTCACTAACAAAACACGTCACGTGGAAGAGAGGGTGAGCTGCGAAGCTGCCGAGTTAGTGCGTCACAAGTCAAAAGGACCACGTCACTCCGACTGTAAAGTGCAGATCCTGTTCTCGTGAACTCAGAGGTAACACTACCGAAGCTGAATACGCGGCTGGCATGTGTCCTCGCCGTGTGCAGGGCTGATGAGCAGCCAATGGCTGCCCCCACACCAGGGCCTGGCAGGGAACCCGGACCGTCTGCCCGTCCTAAGAAACGGCGAAGCCAAGCAGGCCGGGCGTCCGGGAGGAAGGACACAGCCGGCAGCCAGTGAGGAGGCCATGCTTTCCCTGGACGTCAGGACGGCGGGTCTCATGCCTCCTCCACCCTCGAATATGCCTGTCAACACGCCCACCATGGCCTAAGACTCTGTCATTTAAGAACGAGCTCTGAAGTATCTCAGACACTTGGGAAAGCACGGGAGGGCTGGTGGGGGAGGCCAGGTGTCCAGCGCTTCTCCCCGTCTCCTCCTAAAACGCACTCAAAGATGTGGTTCTTTCCCAGAAACAGGGATCATGAACCTGACCGGGACAAACCAGCCGAGTCCCGTGTTCAAATGCAGACCCCTGGAGGCCAGCGTGCAGCTGGCCAGGCTGGGCCCACAGGACGACAGTGGGCGGCAGGGGAAGAGGGAAGGCAGCCCCACGTCACCCAAATGCCACGCAGGTTAGAAGAGCCGTGATTCCCCAAACACAACAGGAGAGCTCCACTCACCGCCCCGAGCATGATCCTGAAGATCAGCCAGCGGAAGCCCCACAGGACGATCCGGGACGTGGGGGTGTGCCGGGGCAGCCTCGACAGCGTCCATAGCGGGCACAGGAAGATGCCCAGGAACCCCGTCTCCAGAAGCTGGGACTCCCATCCTAAAACGACAGTCACACATACCAAGGGTGAGTTCACGGAGGCCACACAGTCCACGCATCATTTCAGATACTCAGTTTAATGGAAACAGCCCTAACACGGGCTGATACTGCTACTGAGAGGCACAAGTGCCATGTGTTAGTCTCGGCACCAACGTGCAAGGACAGGCACGTCTGCAGGGGCGGGAGCTCGGAGCGCAGGACCCGGGGTCTGGGCTGGCGCTTCCTGTAACCTTGGCACCCTTCGTCCTGAAGGGAAAGGCCCTGTTCTGAGGGCCACCACCTGCCACCCTGCAGGACGCTGACCAGACCCGACATCTGAGCCCACATCCTGCCACGTACTGCCGGCAGGTTTCCAGGTAAGCCTTTCCCCTTCCGTAGCTTTGCATGAAAACAAAGCTTTCACCTTCGCTGCCCGGCCTCCATGTGAAGCAGGGTCTCCCTCTGGCTCTGTCCTTCCCAGGCGGGCCCAGAAGCCAGGCAGAGACGCACAGGCACCAACACCAGTCAGCCCACACGGGCCCAGGAAGTCCCCCACTGCTAGCAGCAGATAAAATCCCCCACTGTTGCTAGACGTGGGGGACTTTTGGGGGCCTGGCAGATTTTTCTCCCTTGAAACCCAGCATGAGAACGCAGATGTGGGCCGCCGTCCCAGTGCTGTTCTCAGAGGTGAGGCCACCGTGGATGTGGCTGCTGGAACTGCCCACAGCCCACGTCTGTCCACGGCAGGTCACATCCCAGGGGCCCAGAGACCCCACAGGCCAGGTTCCCTGCTGGGCTCTGAGGACGCCAGATGGGACAGAGGCCACCCGCTGCCCAGCGTGACAATGATCACACGACTCCCAACACCACAGCATCTACGTGCCACAGTGAGGACGGGAGAGTGCGGACGGGCCCGCGGGGAGCTCCTTCAGCAACTCGTCCGTACCTGAGAAATCACGGTGAAGTCAAGCCTGTGAAGAAGCTACTGTAGCAGCACTGGGGCATAACCCAAACACAAAATAAACGCCTGCCAGTCCACACGGACACGCGTGTATCGCTGATTAAACAGATATGTGTGCACGGAGGCAGCGCGGTCCTGCTCTGCTCCGAGTGGGCAGACGGTCAGACTCACACTGCCCGGGCTCGTGGAGGGCACAGGCCACGGAGCTGAGGCCTGGTGGTCTCACAGTGGGACCCCCTCCGCCTCGCCCACGCCCCAGGCTCGCTGGGCCCCCTGTTCCCCACAGAAGCCAGAGCCGCCCGGCTGGCTGGGCCCTGCAGCCGCCCTGGGAAGGAAAGGGTGGCCCAGGCCCACCTGCTTCTGTTTTCTTGGCTCGGGTCTCGTGGAATTCCAGCAGCTGCGCGGCGGCACAAGGGCTGCATTGTTCCCCGCCTCAGCGTGGCGGACCGCGCGTCCCCAGGAAAGTCAATCAGCAGTGCACTGCCAGGGCGGCCTCAGCGCCAGGGCCGTCCCCGCAGCACCCACCCAGCAGACTCCAGCGCCGCCTGAAGCCAGCCCCAGGTGCCCGAAAGAGGCGGCAACGTGGCCGGTGAGAGCAGCAGACCACGCCCCCTGCGCACCCTGCCAGGTGCAAGGCTGCTGCATATGCTGCCTTCCTGGCTTCAGCATCTGTGCCCTGCTCCTCCCCAGCGGCCTTCCTTCCCTTTAGTCAGCGGGACGGCTCTGGGAAGGTCCCTGCCCCACTCACTGCCTCCGGTGTTGTTTCCACTACCTGCTGGGCTGGGCCTTCCAGGGACAGAGCACCACCCCGTGGGGAGCCTGGTGAGCTCTGCTTGGGGGCTGGGGGGCTGCTCTTGGGGGAATGTTGACTTCCACGGCCGCCGCTCTCCTTCCTGTGATACAGACCGCACTGGCCCAATCACCGGAGACGCTCCTGGGCCCCTGCTGGACAGGGTGCAACCCTTGGGGAGGCACCCAGGGCACCACTTTCTGGAGCAGAACCTGAGGCCGGCTGTCTCCCAGGGATGCCCTTAAGAGGCGGCACATCGGGGAGGAGACGCAACCTGTCCTGGGCCTGGGACCACACTCCGGGAACCCACAGGACGCGTGCGGCTCAGCCCTGACAGACAAAACCTCAAAGCAGCTTTGGCCTCGGCGGTGGCAGCCGGCCACCCTCACCAATGCCTCCAGGTCAGAGCCACTGCTTCCCGCTGTGGTCTGCAAGCCCTACAGGCTGTCCATGGCTTATGCCTCCGGTCCCGGCGTTGTGCCCTCGCCCAGCGGCCAGGGAGGCAGCTCTGAGAAACGGCTGTGCATGAAGCCGGCAGGGTGAGCCCCTGGTATCAGGAAAGCCGTAGCTGCATCCTCCCCTTCAGGTGTGCATGGCCACCCTGGCGATCAGTCACACTGCACTGAGACCTGAGGGCACCGGAGTGCCTAAGACCCAGAGGCACCAGCCCTGGGGTCCTGCCCACTCCTGCCCTGGCGCCTCACCCAATGCACTCGTGTTAATTGCTCACTGCCTGCTGGACACCCGGATGCTGGTGTGGAGTGACGCAGGTGCCCCAGCACCAGGCACAGGTGGGCACGGCGCCTCTCAGCTGCCCTCCCCCTCAGAATTCACTCAGATCCACAGCCCAGGCTGGTGCTGGAGGCAGGAGCCTGTGTCCTGCAACATGGCTGCCATTGCAGGTGACTGTGCTGTGCCGTTCACAGGGGCATCAGAAGAGGCTGAAACGAGGACACAGCCTCATCAACGCCTTGCTGGGGAGAGTTTAGAGCTTGGTGGCTCTGGACGCCAGGTATACAGCTGCGGGAGGCATGGAGCACACAGGAGAGAGGCTTCGCCATGGGGCAGCCCAAGGTGCAGGGCGGGGCCGGGGCCAAACCTGCAGATGCCCGACACCCCAACAGGGATTCTGAGGCCTTGGTTTATGATGGAACTTTAAGATGAAACACTTGGAAGAAGAAATGTACAGATGACAGCAACTGCCACACAGCACGTCTCGGAGAGGCTTCCCATAGCTCCAGACTTTGGAATCGCTTCTCACCATTGGTGACCGACCTTGAGGCTGGGGCAGCTACAGCTGCACACGCCGTCATCAGAGGCCCCAGGAGATGCTGGGCCCTGGGGACAGGGACATGCCCATCACCTCGCCCCAGGCCGTCCCTGACCACTCCCGGGAGGGGAGCCCCACCACCACGCCCCAGGCCTCCCTGACCACTCCCGGGAGGGGAGCAAATGTCCCCATCACTGCGCCCCGGGCCATCCCTGAACATTCCCAGAAGGGGAGGAGCACACTCCCCAGCACTGAACCCCTGACCATTCCTGACCACTCCCAGGAGGGGGGCAAATGTCTCCACCACTGACCCCCGGGCAGTCCCTGAACGCTCCTGGGAGGGGAGCACACTCCCCATGTTTCAGGGGACTGCAGGCTTCTTCAGTACAAACCCTTCCGGCCCCCTGTGAAGACAGTGCCGACCCAAATGGGGAGAAAGCCAGGCAGGCCAAAACCCAGAGGCTCCTCACACGCGACCTTCCTGCTCTGCAGGACAGAGGCCCTACGCTGGCTCACAGTGTCCATGAGAGAACGCACACTGCCGTGAGCCCTGAACCCGTGCTCGTTCCCTCTCCAAGTTCAAACCAGAAGCGCTCTCCCTTCCTTTCCTCCACTACTGGTGACAAAATTTCATTGTCCTGGACCAGATGGAAAGGTTGTTCCTCTGAATGAAATTTCCAAGTGCAGATCACTTACGTGACGCAGTGGCTGAGGCAGAGGCCCTGAGGACACCCACTTGCTGTTGCCTGCTTGGCTGACCCAGGAAGGGCGTCCGAGGCCCAAGGGCTTGCAGGGTCCTCACCGTCCCGCACACGCCTCCTAGAGGACAAGGTCCTGTGCTATTTGCTTTAACACTGACAATTTAAAAACAGCCAAAGAACAATACAATGGAGATCCAGCTTCAAAGAGCCGGCTGTGGAGAGCCAGCCCCTGGCTCCTCCAGGGGACATTCGGGCTGGACGGGCCCCGGGTGCACAGGTGTGAGGAGACATGGATGTGGACAGGCCTCAAACACCAGAGGAGCCAGGCGCATGACGGCACAGAGGGGCGGCCAGAGGCCACGGGGCGGTGCGGAGAGCCTCCTCATTCTCACCACAGCCAGCGTCCCTCACTCCACCACCGAACTCCTAGGTACCTGTTCCCCAAATAAAACCCAGGCAGAGGTAGATGTTTACACAACTTCTGTATTTATGGGAATCAAAGGTTGAGGAGGGACCCTCTCCCACTGAAGAACCAGAAGATTCGCCACCAAGAGGCCGGATCTGCGCCTGGAAGCCCAGGGCATGCAGAAACACGTGGAGGGACAGGGCTGAGCTGCGCGGCCAGCAGCACACTATGCGACACCAGCCCTGGGGGCCCCAGACGGCGGAGGGTCCCAGGCCAGCCTAGGGACAGGGTGCATTGTTGGCCAGGCAGAGCACTGGGGTGGAGCCTGAGCTGGGGTTTTCCAGATCAAAGTCCTGGAGGTCAGCAGCCATGTGGATGAGAGACATGCAGGGTGAGATGACCTCAGTGCCTCAGGGGGTGAGACAGCACCAGAACCAGGGGTCAGAGTGGGGGCCCGGGGCAGGTGAGACGTTAGGGCCTGGGGCAGGGGAGATGTGGGGGGGCCGGGGCAGGGGAGATGTGGGGGGCCTAAGGCAGGTGAGATGCTGGGGCCTGGGGCAGAGGAGATGTGGGTGGGCCCGGGGCAGGGAGATGCTGGGGCCTGGGGCAGGGGAGATGTGGGGGGCCTAAGGCAGGTGAGATGCCGGGGCCTGGGGCAGGTGAGACTCAGGCTGAGGCAGGTGATACCCAGGCGCTGCTCGGCCACCAGCGAGGGCAGAGGCTTGGAGGGTGCAGAAGGTGTGCGGGGCAGGGGCAGACGGCATCAGGCACAGGAGGCTGCGGGTTAGCGTCCCTGGAGCCAGGGCCAGGGGGCTGTGGGCTGAGCCGCCTCTGACCAAGGAAGAAATGTGATGTAACATGACGTTCTGGAGGCACAAGTCACTGTGATGGCC